TAAACTTGTACAGGGAATACGAAACTTCAAGACATTTAATATTTTTAGATCTTGGCCTTACTTACTTGGAAAACACAGGTAATTTTATCCAGAAAAATGAGTAGACATCCTGTATGTAGAGAAAGACGATTAAACGTCACAACGCAAAGAATAATCAATCTTGAAATAAATTCACGCTAGAAAAGTTGAACATAGTGACTTATTACAATAAAAAAAGACTTTAGTGACTTGGCCTTTAAAAAAGAGACTTTTTAGTGGCTGACTTGAAAAAAGTGACCTAGTCACTAAAAAGTGACTCACTACCAGCCCTGCGATGGGCCCAATCTTAGATCCATAGCCATTTCTCCTATATAACTACATAGGGGGAAATGGCTCTAATGTTGGCCCACAGATAAACAAACATAATACATTGCATATTTCTCTCTGTAAAACATCACCGCTAAAACATTACTGCCATCTGTTGAATACACTATGGTGAGTAGTACGTGGAACAGATGGCGGTAGTGTGTAAACGTCAAATGCAAGGGAATTTACTATGCGCACCACAGGTGGCGGTACTACCAACTACGATAATTTTAAAATTACCGTTAAATGCTTGTTTGAAGAACAACTTGTGAGTGATATGTCTGTTTGCCTGTGGTTGGCCTATGGATCTTAGATTGGACCCTTCGCTAAACATCTGCTATTTATACTATTATAGACACCCCCACCATCCCTCTCCAAAGGGGGAGTTTGGTATAGAGAGATGAAAAAACCGATTTGTACCTTCCTTAAAAGTTGTCCTAGCTCGCTATCTACTATCTATATGCAATTTTCACAATGCCGTACTCTAACGGAACTATCAATTCAATACTTTCATCTCGTCCATCTATAGTATAAAAATTACCACTTTAGTCTGTTATATGAAATTAGCATCTTTAACTATGCTATTTTTCAATTTTATCTATGTGAACGCGTCACTAATGGATATTTTTGGTCGCTATTGTCCGTACAACAGAATTTATTATATTTACAGTAAATCATATTGCCTGAAACGATAAAATTACCATAGAATGTATTGTTTTCACAATAGAATCGATGGTAAATGGTAAATCACTTTTTCCCGAACCAATATGAGCCATTTATCATTAATTGTATTGTTGTTCTATTGTTGAAAATTCTTACTATATGGGACGTATTGTAAATCTATTGTAAAAACAATATGCTAAAATTTCTTGAACAATATATATACACTAAGATCGATTGTTGTCAATAGATTTTGCTGTAATTGTATTTTATTTAATGGTAATTGTATGGCTATTTTTTTCCTCTATATAACATTCAACTTAGCATACTTTATTTAAAATCTCTCATTCTTTACGTTTAATTACACTAGTTTACAAATAAAAGTAAAAAAAATGAACTTGAATCTTTGACCAATGATTCTTATGTTAAATCGTGTGCTGAATCCAAAAATATAGACCAAAAAATCTCAGTAGCATACTTTTCAAGATACACTGACATCCATTTACGAGTTAAACCGGGGGTTCGTAAGTCGAGTTAGTGCGTAAAAAAAACTCGTTATTTGGAATTTTCTTCGTAAAAAGTGGTTTTTGAAAATATTGTCAAATACCCCACAATATTAGTATTTTTGGAATCAGGGTGCCGTGTAGGAACTGGAAATCCATGCCAATGCCATGTCATTTTCCAGTTTTTCATAAACAGAATCCTGCCATATTGGATTTCAAAATGGTGTCAGATATAGATTTTCAGTTCCTACACGTCACCCTGATTCCAAAAATACTCATATTGTGAGGGTATTTCACAGGTTTTCGCAGATTCCCAAAATTGCAAAAATAAAACTCGTTATTTGGGATTAATTCGTAAAAAAAACCCTCGTTATTTAGGATTTACTTCGTAAAAAGAGGGTGAATACAGCGTAAAAAAAGATTTCGTGAACGGAGGTTTCAGTGTACAGCTTAAAAAATGAAAATTCACTTTAAAAAGTGTGTTTACTAAAATACAAATATCTCAAGTTGTAATGAGACTTTATCAATTATTTTAACGCCAAATTAAAGGTATAAAAATTTCCTTTCGATCACTTGAACATTAATTGTCGATGAGATTGATGTTATTGTTGTTAATTAATAGTTTTTTTATTATATTTTTAATATTTTGCATTTTTTCCCAGAAAAAAAGTAAGTTTTTAAGGTGTGTAAATAAAAATGTTTGTAGTGGTTGTACCACTAATCTCACTGAAAAATGGTGTGGAAATAATCGAAAGAAAATTTCATCACTTTTAGTTTGACGTTAAAATAATTAATGTAACTTCATTACAATCGGAGATATTTGTATTTTAGAAAATATATTTTTTGATTCTTAGCTGTATCTCGAAAAATATCACACTGAGATTTTTTACGATTACATTTTTGGATTCAACGTATTATTTTACATGGAAAATTAACATCAGCGTCCAAAGGTTCAAATATGCTGTAAACAAGTATTACCAGTCAAATTTGTCACGAAAATGAACTACAGCTGGCACGCACGTTTTAGTTCGAGTTCTTTAGGAGTCCTGGCGATGCGTCTAAGCTCTGATATTGAACGGGTTTTTCACGCATGGTTCCTTCTTACCTCTATAATGATGCGAAAAATAAATGGTTCATTCTTTCGAAGAGATTTCAGTTTCTAAAAGATAACACACGGTTTTATACAGATTTATGAGATGCTCCATTTTCACGCCCATGGCTGCTTGAAATCGAAAACGAATGAAATTTCAAATACTACTATCAATGCAAGCTGATATTTGTACACACTTTAAAACAAAAATACTTGAACATATACCCATTTTACCCATTGAGAAATGCATTTTTGTGAAATCGGTGCACAGCAAAAAATTAAAATATCACATCAAAGTGAAGTTTCACATCGAAAATATGGTGTAATATTACTTGCGAAAAAAGGCAAAATTATGTATCATTAATTCAGTGCATGAACTGACATTACTTTGCTTTTACTGCATTTGTTTATTAATTACATGAGATTGTCGACATGATTGAAGTGCATCCTCTTGGATGTAATATTAAAATTTATTTTTTACTGTTTGACAGTTATTCTGAATCACCTTGTACTCAATAGAGCTGATCAGTTAGAAGAAGTATTATTGCTACATGCAGTCGAATTTATTTGAAATAAAGCAAACTTTTATGGCATTGTTTTTCGTCGTTCACACAAAGTTTTGCTTTTGTGAAAATCATCTAGGATAGAAAAAGCAAACCAATCCCTTTTTGTAGAACTTTCATAAATTTATTACCTCTGTGATAGCAGAGAGCAACCTCAACAGTAACACACACAAACGACACAATTCGAAAGACAAAAGAAAGGCATAGTCAATAAATCATTTCGGAAGCCCTGAAGTATATGAGTCCAGCGTTATTTTGGGGAGTATTTGCAAACAAAAGAAAGATTATCACACTTTTTACGAATCTGTTCCGGCAGAAAAACACCAAGCAGCGGGATTAATTCCAAACCGTATAGCAAAACTCGATTGAATGACTAGCTTTTCTCAAATTACAACTTTTTTTCCAAAAGAATTCCACTCACGTCAAGTGCACTCCCTCCGTTCGGGTGGAATGGAAAAGAGTAACCCAGCGAAAACTTGCATAATGCTATTATCCTCTGACGACGACGACGACGATAGTGTGACTGGAACCTAATGCAACATTATGTGTATCCTATACAAACTCTGACATAAGTAGCGACGATGCCGGCGGCGACCGACGGTAGAACTATAGTGGCGTTGTAACTGCAGACATTGAAAACAAGGAAAACGTGTACACGTAAATAGATTTTCACTTGACGTAATCTTCTTACCACCTCCCCTAGCCAGTTCACCGACGTACGAATGCATTCCCGAGGAAAATGGAGTCTAGCTGCTGGGGGGGAAGCCACTGAAATGCTGTTACCGAACGTTGTTCTTTCCACCCAAAGCTGCTCGTGCCCTTCCGTCAAGGTTCAGTACGAGTTTGGCATGCTTGATTTCGGAGAAAGTAGAACTACCCCGGTGTATATTTTCCCTTGTACCAACCGGATAAGTTTTCCGAATGTGTGATCGTACACAGTTTGCAGACACTTCATCAACTATTTACATTGAGGTGTAGTAAGTAGCTGATGATATTGTCAGTTTTGGAAACCAAGTTTCCGGTTTGTTTGAAATTGCTTTTCTGAGAGCTCCGCTGGAAATGAGATGGGTATTGGATCTTTTGTGGCTTTCCATAGCTCAGTCGGTAAAGGCGCAGCTACAATGGAAGAACATGCTGGGAGGTGGCTGGGTTTGATTCTCGGTCCGGGTTGGACAATTTCTCGACTTCTTGATTGTACTTGCCACACAATAATACGAATGGTACAGGCATCGAAAGCACTCAATTAATAATTGTGGAAATGCATCTAGAGCACACTATTTATGAGGTAATATACGATAAGCAATAAGCTTGGAATTAAAAGAAGAAGACGAAGAAGAAGACTGAATCTCGCAATCAGAGTGACATTCACCAGCACTAAACTAGTTTATGAGACATACACATAATACCTCAAATTAAAACTGATGATAATGATGATGATGACTAGGTCCGTAGGTGATGAGACCCACGGATCCGCTAATAGCTTCATACTCACCCAAGTTACGTTTCATGCTAACTCATCGTGTTCATTACCGCACTCATCGCGGCGCAATTCGCACGTCTCTTGAAACAGTGGCGCTGCATCGTTTCTCATAACGACGACCATGACAACGATGACGATGGCGTGACAGCCGAGCGGTGGCCACCACCTCCGCCGCCCTCCGGCACTGGGAGACGATATTGCAGCAGTTTTAATGGTTTTAGCTGGAGCTGTTTTCCTTTCATGATTCACGATTGCATCATAATGCGGTGGCCCAAACGTTCTTGAATGCATAATTGATGTATAAGTAAGCACCACTTATGTTTGTTGTTGTTTCTTTTTTTTTCTCTTCCCTCACACAGAACATCCTCGAGAAGTTCAACCCCGGAGCGCGGCAGCTGATCAGTGCCGGTAAGGCCTACCTGAAAGCCCTCCACGGAGCGTCGGCGGCGTCCAATCTGTTCAACGAAGCCCTGGCCAAAATCGCTGTCAATGCACAGCAAGGAGGCACCATCGATATCGGTAAGTGCCGGGCGCGTGGTAGTAAAGCATATCGATACAAATTATTTTAATCGCCGTCTTAAATTGTTTGAGGTTGTTACGGCAAGCTGGCTACTGCTGATGGTCAATATAAGCGTATTGGCATTGTTGATTAATCCTGTTTTATGTTCCGTCGTCGGCGGGAAGGTCGTAAACCAGTTTGCTGGATCAAGTTTTCGTGGAGAAACAGTAGGACTATGGCTATTGAATATGGATTTGCTGTTGCACTGCGGGTTTTGAAAGTATCCTACCGATTACTTGCGATTTGCGATACCATTGAACACCAGCTGCGTTGAATGATGCGAACAAGGGGAGTGTTTCCCCTACCCGATGATGTTGTTGGTTTGCCTAGGCGCGAATCAGTTCGCGAAAAAAGGGCATTACAAAAACTGATAGGCCCTTTTCAATTGTTGGTCGAGAAAGGTGTTTTTCTGCTTTATTTTTTCTCTTTCGTTTAGAATTTGGTCTTCTGACACGGTGACCGTTATGATCAACATAATATAGCCATCAATTCTTATTCCGATTATTTAATATTCCAGTCGATATAGTTGATTAGGGTTGTCAGTACCGGGCCCTTTTAGCGACTACCGGTATTTCGGTACTGAGAAGATCATTAGCGGTAATACCGGTAAATTACCGGTACCAAGGGATTTTAAGAAAATAAGTAGGGCAAATGATGGCTTCGACATCCATTGACTGTTTTCGGCATCCAACATTTACACGGTGACTTCGCTAGATTTTCGCACCAAAACACTTTCCTACATGTATTTAATAGATTGCTTAGTCTTTCAGCTTCAGTCTGATTACATTTTTACTCAGTCGTACAACCTTGAGTTGAAATTAAATATACGCTGTACCCAATACGCAGTTCAATTGGAAAGGTTGCCGAAGAAAAAGAGGCTGCCAACAATAGTCCCACTCACCTGAGAATTGAGTCAATATCAACTTGACGTATTTTTTTCAATTTTGCATTTAAAAAACCTGAACACCCCTCATTTTGAAGGTGTGTGTGTGTAGAATGTTGCTCCTATTTTGATTTTGGAATTCACTCTTCAGTTGTCAAAATGCCGTCCAAGCAAGAAGAGCAGCGTATCAAAATTTTGCTCGCGCATCGCGAAAATCCGAGCTACTCGCACGCAAAGTTGGCAAAATCGCTAAAAGTTGCCAAATCAACCGTTACAAATGTAATTAAAGTGTTTGGGGAACGTTTGTCGACAGCCAGGAAGTCTGGATCGGGGGGAAATCGAAAACCGGAAGCCGCTGAGACGACAAAGAGAGTTGCCGGTAGTTTCAAGCGAAACCCTAACCTCTCTCTCCGAGATGCCGCAAATAAGCTGGGTGTATCGTCTACAACCGTGCATCGAGCCAAAAAACGAGCCGGACTATCGACTTACAAGAAGGTAGTGACTCCAAATCGCGATGATAAACAAAATACGACGGCCAAAGCGCGATCCCGGAGGCTGTACACGACGATGCTGACGAAGTTTGACTGCGTGGTAATGGACGACGAAACCTACGTCAAAGCCGACTACAAGCAGCTTCCGGAACAGGAGTTTTATACGGCAAAAGGAAGGGGAAAGGTAGCAGATGTTTTCAAGCACATGAAACTGTCAAAGTTCGCAAAGAAATATCTGGTTTGGCAAGCCATCTGTACCTGTGGCTTGAAAAGCAGCATTTTCATAGCTTCCGGGACTGTCAACCAAGAAATTTACGTGAAAGAGTGTTTGAATAAACGTCTGCTGCCTTTCCTGAAGAAACACGGTTGTTCCGTACTGTTTTGGCCGGATTTGGCATCTTGCCATTACGGTAAAAAGGCCATGGAGTGGTACGCCGCCAACAACGTGCAGGTGGTTCCCAAGGACAAGAACCCTCCCAACACGCCAGAGCTCCGCCCAATTGAGAAATACTGGGCTATTGTCAAGCGGAACCTAAAGAAGACCAAAAAACTGCTAAGGGCGAGCAGCAGTTCAAGGCAAACTGATGGCAGGGGTCAAGCGTAAGGCCCGGCAATTCGGATTTGGAAAAGCGGAAGCCTAACTGAATATTTTTCCTGAATTTTATACTAATTGAACTTGAAAATTGTGCAAATTTATGAGTCATTTAATGAAATATTCTAAATATTGTATGCAACCATCCATCTTTGTAAGCAATATTTCTTGCAAGTTGCTAGTTTATGGAAGTTTAAAATTCATATTTTTTGGTGTGTATAAATGTTCAAGCGACTATAACAAAGAATTCATGTATTTGTTTCATCATTTCTCGGTTTTCGTTGTATCTTCTTTCGAAAACTTTTCTGTAAGCTGTTCAGTAATTTCATTAAAATCGTCAGCTAAGTTCGCTTCTGCATTAAGTGCAATTATGTTCTTTCTAATTCTTTGATTAATTTCATGATATTTCTTCACAGCATAATTTACACAACTCATATCAATTGGTGATATCAAAATACTAGATATAGATTAGTTAATAAGTTCAATATTAACGCTTTGCGAATATTCGCCAACATTAGCGTCGATTGTTTCTACCGATGTTATTGATGGTACAGTTACTAAAGATTCCTGACTTGAAACATTCATGTTGATGTCTTGTTCATCGCAGTTCGATAACTCGTCGCTACTTCGGTACATATAGAAAGCTGTATACGACAATAATCACAAATTTTTAATTTACTGTTTAGTTGGTTCTGTTCCGCAAAACCCAGATCAACTAATTTCTGTATATTAGTATCCGTGAGATTTCGGCAATTTTTCGAGCAACTTTTTTTAATAAACGTTTATGCACTTATAATGAAAAGTATTCATTTAACTACCACTTCGTCTTCTGAATTCCTGAACTTAAGGAGGTCACTTTCACAGGATGCACAGCGAATTATCTTCTAATGTTGATTACGTGTTAGATTTGTCTTATATATGGAGGGTTATTCAAAACAAACCCACTTGGTACCATGAATTGCTTAGCAATAGGTAGCATGTTAGCATTTTAGCAACAAGTTTATACCTATGAAAAAAGGTCGCATTGATTTATTTTTATAGTTTAGAAAACATTTATTATAGTTATGAGCCACCAAGGTAAAATGTTTTGGATCTTTCCGAAAAAAAAATATTTTCGGAACTGTAGAACCGCGAAATACATTTAAAAATGGCCAAAAACTACCAACATTTTTAAAATATCTACTTTCAAACCGCTACATCTCAAAAACGGTGTGACTTAGCAAAATTTTACATGCATGCTTTTTTATTGTAAATTTAGTATACTTTCATTATATAAAGTCGAAACAGTAATTGGACCAAGTTTTGGATATTTTCCAAAAAACTTTTGTTTTTTTAAAAATCAGAACTTCTTTGTCCATCATTTTTTCCATCTTGACCTATAGTGCAATAGAGGACATTTTTTGTCCCCTAAAACATAGCAACAAATAAAAAGAATACAATACGTCTTTTTTGATATTTTTTTTTATTTAAGGCTTAATTTCAAATTAAAAAAAAGTTGGTTAAATTTTTTAAGAGTGCATATTTTTTCAATTAGTCTCATTTATTACCTGCAATATTGCCCAAGACACCAAACCGATCAGGCAAACAGTTTTCGAGTAAAAAATTTCCGAAGATAAGCTTGACATTTTTCTATAGGCTCTTTTCAAAAATAAGGCTGGATTCAAATTGGCGATATGAAGATGCAAAATGGCGTAAGGAACGTTTCTGAAAATTTTCAACCAAAGCAAAAAATACAAAAATAAACCGATTTGCGGATTCGTCGGGAATTGCTCAACAGGTTATATAACTTTTGAATGACTGGTTTTGGTTGTAAAGGAGTTTACTCAACATAATTCCATGAATATCTGTGTTACTTGCGAAGTTGCTTGTTTTGGTAAATGAAAAAACTTTTCTAACAAATTAAATTAAAAAGTTATGGTTGAAGGAACGATTTTAAGGGACCTTCCTTAAAAATACTTCATATCTCTATGAAAACGACGATTTAAACCATTGATGTTACTAGTCAAGTTTGTAAACATGATAAAATCTACAGCTTTGTGCAACATTTATTTTTTTCTTAACCGCATAGAAATAAAGAAATTCTATTTTTTGTCCTACGGGATTTAAATTATGGACCACTTCATCAGATGCGTTTTTTTTTCAAATCTTAACTTGTCTGGAGACACCAACTTGATTAAACTGCATCTTTATGCATTTTTTTTTTACTTATTACCTGCTAAACACCCTTCTGGACCACTGTGCAATGGTAACATAAGTCGAAACAAGAATAATTAACAATACTGTAGCGAGTGCCATATTTTTAATTGCATTTTAAACAATATTTTCATTTGTCAACAGGCGCGTGAATTCCATTACCATGCAATGAATTCCAGAGTGAATTAGTAGTCTACCACTTGGTATAATAAACAACAAATTAGTCTAGTTCAGTAGTGAGTGCCTGGGTGGTATTCATCCCCGTTTTGCTGCAAGTAGGCGGTAGGTTGCTCGATCGTCGCGTTAGCGTGTACGTACATCGATCCGGTCAAATCCTTTGAAGATTTGTTGACCTTTTTCCGTTTTTTTTTTCCTATCCTTAAATGGTTGGGCCAAACAGTCAATTGTACCATAGAGGTAACTCTAAGACTAGAAAGTCCCGAAATAACGTGCTCAACTTTTTGGCTCAGCTCTGGTACTCTCTTCGGTTCCAAGCTAATCGATTCACCTCTCGAAAATCCACTAACCCCTCATTTTATCTGTCAAACTTTCATAGCGAATCAAAACAAACATTGCGTAGTACTAGAATTTCGACTAGAATTGGGTACGTTAATCGTTTGCTTGGGACCAATAGACTAGTCAAGTAGTGAGCCAATTTTAAATCGTTAGTTTCGTATTGATTGTTGGTTGTACCGCATGCGTGATAATGTTTGCACCATTGAGCAATGTCAAATTTAAAAAATGAAACTCAAGAATATCGTTTTTGAGTTTTTTTTATTTATTCAAAGGGGGGATAT